TTGTTGTTTATAATTGTTGTTTATAATTTGTACAATTAACCTCCATGTGGTTCGACCCCGGTCTTGCCGGGTTATTTATTACTTCGACACTCCTGCACTTAAGAGAAGACATCAATCTTTTCATCGTGTCACCCTTGATTATAAATGAGATTTACCAATATTACCCTTTTATATATGTGAAAGAATGGCACTCTATCTCATCATTGTTGAGTTTATTTTATTTTTCCATTAAAAGATATTATTAGACTATTTTGTATCAATAAAGATTAAGCCTCATCTCTGAATATTTGAAGTTATGAGAGACATTTGTTCTAGTATGATTGAATAAATAGAATTTGGAGCAGCATCTTTGATGACGGGGAAAAAAGGGAGGCAGAGATAATCCAGACTCTGGTTTCTTGAAGGGATAAAGTATACCATTTCTATTTTCTGGGGTCATTTTCATATGATATTTATTTATTATATATCCAAGGGTATATTCTACCAACAAAAAGTTGTGCTAACCAGTGACGAGCAGATTAAAGCTCATCTGCCCAACTAATGTATCATAAGCTCAACTTGTCTGAGACCACATCACCAGTAAAGAAGTGACTCTGGGTGTCCTCCATCCGTCGAAATGAGCAGGCCATACTGAACTCCTTTCCTTGTAACTCCAAGTGGCATGGCAGACCACCTCCTTCACAAATGCTATCCACCACAGAGCCACCTTTTTCACTCTTTTCGTGAATGCCATCCTTTGAGGACCAACAATTGCAATCACTCCTTTCGGATTCTTGCAAGGCAGCTGACAGGGATTCAATTCAACTACAAGGCTGATGGCCAAATGGCATTAGACACGCCAGGGGTAGGAAATTCCTTGTCTTTTCGATGGTATTCAAAACTCCCAAATGGATCCCTTCTACCATCTCCAGCAGCCACCTGCAGTCCCATGCCCCTGAAATTCCACGGGGAATCGAGAAACAGAATAACGTAACACAGAACATATCTACAAAAGCTATGAGAAAATGCAATGCCAGCACATGGGCGGGCGGGTCATTTCCTCCAGCGAGCTACTGCATAAACCATGAATCAATGACATATGACCTCAAAAACTTTTTTATTGTCAGAAATCACAGCCAAATACAACTAACTATGGAGTGATTTGGAGGATGTACTAATATATAACCAGCGCCCTTTTCGTTGGTTGCATATTAGCCTGATATTATCACATTCAGGCCTCCCAGGTTACTCATCAATACCTTCATTTGCTATTAGCCCCCAAACCATATCACAAAGAACATTTACATATTGCCAATCAGCTTTGTTTCTTAATACCTATCCGCTTCTATAGGTATCTACAGACTTCTTTGATAACGTGGATTGGAAGAAGCAACCCCATCAAAATCTCTGAACAGAGGCTTGGGTCCAATGAGATCTCCACTTCCATGATTTGCTCGCCCTCTTGATGCAGCTTGGTGTACAGATGGATCATCTGGATTGTTGCAGAGTCCAAGTTTGACAATGAAAGTAGTCACTGTACCTTTGTCAAGGCCTTCACTTTCTATCCATATATGGCCCTTCATGAGAGTTACAAATCTGATTCCCATAATTTAAGAAAAGGAGAGCAAGTAAAGAAACCATAGAACAAGAAAACAAATAAGAAAGCAGAGATTTATATGGTAGCTTCCAAGTTAGATCTAACAGTAACTATTTTTGCCATTAATTTGCTAGATGATGGGACAGTGCTCGAAAGGAATGATCTCACAATTTCTAGAAACTTTGCAATGCAATGGAATGGAAAGTTTTTAGCTCTACCGTTTGCAGATGGCAAGCCCAAGTCCTGCACCACCATTACTTCGACTAGATCCACTATGTGGCTGAGCAAATTTAGTAAAAAGGTGTGGGACATCTTGTGGGAGAACACCACAGCCAGAATCCTTAACCTGTCACAACCAACATGATAAGGTTAACAACATAGCAGATCATATTCCAAATAACCTACAAGGATGATGCAAGCACAAAATGCTGCATTGATTAATATCCAATTTAGGAATGGATGATGGCCGTGAGATTTTGTACAAGCTAATCATGTTAGACAGTATAGCAATCTGAAATACTAGAATCCAAAAAGTTGTCCTGAACTGCCAAAACTGCATGTCTATTAGATACCAAGAGATGCTGCCTTTAACCTTAAAAGAGTTAGCTATCTATTATTAACACCAATGGAACACTGTTCTATAATTATTTGAGCAAAACCTAAATGTACTGGTCAACAACCTGCACACGTAGATAGAAGTGGCCATCACTCGTCATCGGGTAGAATTCAGGAGGCCGCCAGTCTCTCAAAGAATCTGGTTTTGCAACAGAAACTACAATAGACACATAACCCTCCTTTGTGAACTTGACAGCATTGCCCACAACATTCAGAATAGTTTGTGTCAGCCGTTTCTCATCACCAACTGCACATGCAGGCAAATCTGGGGCCATACTTAAAGTCATAGATAACTTTTTAACAGATGCAATGGGCTTTATCAAACCAACAACCTGCATTTACAGAAGAAAAAAAAACAAATAGTGTTACCACAATGCCTCTATGGAAGTGCCACAGTGCCAACTTGTATTGAATTCCATTAGTGCATGATGAAAGTAGAAAATTAGGGTAGTCACCTCTCTGAATTGCTCATGAAGATTAAATGTCTTAAGGTCTAAGTCTAAGCTTCCATCTTCAAGTCTTGAAAGATCTAGCACATCATTAGTAAGTACTGCCAAGAGGTTACTACTCTTCAATACTGTCTCAATCATTGCTCTTTGTTCAGTAGTTAGTCCAGTCTCTAAAAGAAGTGAAGACAATGCAATAATTGCATGCATTGGTGTCCTCATCTCATGGTTCATGACAGCAAGGAAATCATTCCGAGCATGTATGGCCATTTCTGCTTCTCGACGAGCTGATTTTAAAGCAACATTCTGCTCCATGAGCTGATCACGTGCCCGCATAGACTCTTCAAGAATAGCAGCATGCGAAAGAGCAACTGCTACCTGATGAATGTCAAAAAGGATTTCAACACTGAACAACATGCTTAGAGTAGTAGTTTAAGTTTCAAACTATGGCACATAAATTGTATTGCTTATGAACATCTGATGCAAGGAACCATATGTAAGGTATAATGAGGCAATGCCTAATATCAAACATGACTACGAAAACAGACAATTGTGATGTTGATCATTCCGATAGTGGTCAGCATCAGTGTTGTCAGAGGCAAAAGGCACTAAAAGGTGCCAAGCCTGTAAAATGCCTGAGGCGCTAGCTGCTAGCCCGAATGAACCAAGGCGATATGTTATAAATTAAAAAATATATATTATATTATATTATATAAATCTAAAATATTTATCTTCCCAATTAAGATTAGATCATTAGAAAATGAAAGGAAAATATAACATACCATAACATGGCCATATAAAGTTATATTTTTCACCCTTAAAACAAAATAAGATAATTTAAAGTAATAAGTAACCAAGTAGATTAAAAAAAAAATTAAGTATCATCATCATTATTCATTAGTCTTCAAAAAATCTCCATCCATGCTTTCCTCTCCCTCACTTGAATCCTTCATATCCTCCATTTCATAAATACAATTGAAATCCTCATCTCTCAAACTATATTGCACTTGTTTAGAAAAATTAAAGTATTAACTATAAAGGTGTTGTTCTTTCACTCCCACTATTGAAAAAAGAGAGTGTGGTTAGTGTTTCTCTTCTAAGTGTCCTTCATTGTCTGTTTGTCTCCCTCTTTCATGATTTTTTTTAATTTCTTTACCCTAATCTTTGTTTTTTACAGAAATACCCCTAAGTTGTTTCTTGTGGTAAAGTAAAAGAAAAATCCAACAGAAAAGGAAGAACTTCATGCAAGCACTAGCCTTAGCGCCTTGCACCCACTCACAAGCCGCTCACCTAGGCAGCACCTCATTGAAATCCAACACCTGAGGCTTATAAAGGTGTTTGGGGCCTCACCTTGCCTGAAGTGCCTAGGCAAGTGCCCCTTGACAACAAAGGTCAACATAACAGTATATTACAGCAGTTAGGTAGCAGGCGCGGATGAGGGAATCCGAAGCCCCAACAATTGGTTTTTTTTATTTTTTTTATTGCAGCATATAACGCATTTATGAATGAATATGTGCAGAATTTTTATCTATAAAATCCAATCATTCATATATATATGCAGTAATGAAGGCAGCTTATTCATTGGACATATACACCAAAGAAGCACGACTGAACTACACATTCCAAGATAAAATGCCTAAACCAAAACATTAAACTAAGCAATGAGACACCCCATGCCTAGGCAAATTTTCAATCCCTTGTGTATAATAGATAAGCCTCCATGTGAATTTTTATATGCTAGCTTTTTCACTGGTCATGCTATTTCATCATTTTCATAAACTTATATGCAAACAAGATGCATGAAATAGAAAAAATAAAAAATAAATACAGCACGAGTATTGGAACAACGAAATAAGAACATTCCAACATTTCTACGACACAGAAGCAGGAAGAGAGCAATTAAATCATAAATATACCTGGTCTGCAACAACTTCAACAAGTTCCAATTCATGTTCTCGCCACTTTCTAGCACTTTCTGTTGGTAGAATCAAAACCATGACAGCATAGCTTTTTGCAGAGAGTTCAGGCCAATCATTAATTTGGAAATTTGACAGATGTAGAAGAGGTACACGAACAGCAACAACCTCGGGTGGCAGGTACCTACCAAAAAGGGGCCTGATCCTAGCCAGTGGGCAGTTATATGGTATACGCACTGCATGAGCACTGCTGAAGACTTCGTTGACTATAGGAAGGTTTATAGGTACAGAAGATCCCACTTGTATTTGGTAGTTCAGGGTGTGAGAAAGTTGCAGATTCAAACCAGTTCTTGAAGGCATCCACAACGCACATTCCTCGAGGCCTAAGGTCCTACCCAGCTCAACAAGAGTGGTTTTCAATATAGTATGTCTGTCAAGTGTGCTTCTAATTTCATGAGTCAGCATTCTAACATGCCTTCCAGTTTCTTCCTGTGTGAGAATAAGGCCCATCTCCCTATCAAGTTCTTCAGCCTTGTTCTTGAGAAATAATTCCCGGGTTTTAACACTCAGTAGATCAGGAATAATGTGGACAAGCATCAAAGCTGTTGCACATGATACAATAGCGCAAGCAATTTTTGCAACAGTCATCACCACAGCAACAGCTTTTGAATGCATCGAGAACGTCCACAGATTTATAAAGTGGGTCGCTCCACAAAGAACAATGAAGGCACCAAACTGCATAAGCACCCATCGGTACGGAAAGAATGCTGATTTTTGCACAAAGTATATAAGCTCGATGGGAATGGAGAAGTATGCGAAGGCAATTAAAACATCCGATATGTACTGATATCTAACAAGAAGTTCTTCATGTGGCCATTGCATATCGATACAGTCACAGGACTCCATCCTTCCGATCAATACCGAGGTAAATCTAAAAAATAAAGAGACAGAAAACATCACGATAATAACACCATCTCCTAGTACAGACTATTTAACACAGCAAAATGAGCCCATCTTCTTTGCTCCGAAAAATGATGTTGCCCAAATTAGCAAGAACCAAGCCACTTAAATCATTACAAAATATGTATGGGCAAGAAAATACTAATCCAGTTAAATCAAGACGGTGACACATCTTCTCAGATAAAATAAATTTAGATCTTTCTTTTTGTAACTAATAGAAAACCACCAATCCAATCACATTAAGGTCAAACTTAACTGTTGTGGCCCCCCAGATTTTATCCCACAAATTATTTGCAGTCCGTTTCATCAATCAACTAAACAGTATTTAGCAGCAGCACTAATTGCATATAGGATGCAATGCATTAATTTGGTGATTTGGACAGATTGGAGGTCATTTCTTCCTTAAGAGCCTTCACCCGTCCTGCAGTGAATTCAAATCCCAGTTGTTGGCATGAAAAAACAAGTAAAAATCCATCTTTATACTGTAAATGAGCAGAGCAGCAACCAACACCTTTTGAACTTCGACTAGGCTCTTTTTCTTTTTTTGTTCGAGGAAAGTAAAGGAGTATAAAAATCAAAAGATGCGTATTATCAAAGCTAGTCATGGTTTTTTTTCAATTATTATTGATGAGCATGCTAGATGGTTACGCATAAAGCCAAGAAGATTAAACCATCCAAAAGAAAAATATAAAATAAAATAATCACCAATGCTCGCCAGACGTGAGGAAGAAGAAACGGATGGCCAGGAACTTGCAGTTAGTTACAGTAGAGGTTTGATCGAAGCCGTCCTTTTAGTTTCATAATGTGAAAGTGGAAGATCGCTCTCGCATTTTTTTTATGAGACGTCGAAAGGAGGAGGAGGAGGAGGAGGAGTCGCGGCGGCGGCGGTGGTGGTGGTGGTGGTGGTGGTGGTGGTGTATGGAGAGAAAAGAAGGGAGGAGCCTTTTCCAATTCTAGAGCAGAGAGAGAATAAAGTGGAGGGAAAGGAGCAGCCGCCGCCTAAAACCGTCATGGAGATTGGAGACAAAAAGCGCCAACTCAAGGACACCGTGGCACGTGAGAATCCTTCCCATGGATCTCTCCAATCCGGGGCGAAACTAGAACGAGGTCATCAGAAGGACGTACCAATCAGTGTTAATTAAAAGGAATTGAAGAGGTCTTTCAAAAATGGATTTTTAAGAAAAATCAACATCTTTCAGTGGGTTTAAAAAAAAAAAGAATTGATAATAATTATTTTTTAAAGTTTTTTTAAATAATATTTTTTTTATTTTAAAAAATTATTTTTAATATTAATATATTAAAATTATGTGAAAATATTAAAAAAAATAATTTTAAATAAAAAATAAATATTTTTAAAAAATATTTTTTAAAACATAAAAACAAATCTTTATCGAGTTTTAAATGGAATAGAAAGGAGACCTGGCCGTCTTCTAGGATTAGTTGCTAAGACATCATTTTCAACCGTTTTAGTATATACTAGAAACGTGTCGCATGCTATATTGTGGTTTAATTTTTTATATAAAAAATATTAAAAAAATTAAAATTCAAGAGTATTAGGTTTTTTATAAAGTTATATCTAAAAATATTTGGTTTGTCTGTTACTTTTCATCTAAAGTTATATTTATAATATTAATAATAATATTAAACTTGTATGATTCAAGTTTAAATAAGTTTAGTTGCAAAACTCAGAGTATTTGATATGATTCTGGCTATAAGATCTTATTATAAAAGTGTAATAATTAAAAAGAAAAAAAATTAATATTATAGAATAAAATTAAAAAATAATAATTGAAAAGAAAAAATAATAAAGCAAAGCATTATTTCAATGAATAGTGCTTTTCAAGGAATGGTACAGTAAAATCCCCTCATGAGATCACAGTAATTTAATGACTAGTAAACAAAACAAATCATAAAATTTAATTTTTAATCAAATTGATATTAAAAGATGAAATTGAAAGAAAATATGAATCAACTAATTTAACCCATCAAACATAGGATTCGTGTCATGAAATTGAAAGAAAAAATATTGATGTCTTTTAATTATAGTTAATTATAATTTTTAAAGATGAAATTGAAAGAAAAAAAACCAATAAAGAAAAAAAATCTGAATCAATTGGGTTAACCCACCAAATCAGGTTAACCCGTCAAACCTGAGATTCGTATCATGAGAGTGTGATAACTAAATAGAAAAAAATTAACATTAATAAACTAAAATGAACAAAAAAAAGATTAATTAAAAAGAAAAAAATAAAGGAAAAAAAACCTACAAGAAAAAAAAACTAATGAAAAAAAAAAAGAAAAAAATCTAAATTAACTGAGTTAACCCGTCAAACCAGGTTAATCTATCAAACTTAGGATTTGTGTCATGAAAGTTTGGTAACTAAATAGAAATAAACTTAATAATAACAAACTAAATTTAAAAAAAAAATAAAAAGGAAAAGAAAAGGAAAAGGAAAAAAAATACTAAAAAAAATATTAATTTAAAAAAGACAAAGAAAAAAAGAAAAGCCTACATGAAAAAAAAAATTAACGAAGAAAAAGAAAAAAAATCTGAATTAATTAGGTTAACCCTTCAAACCATGTTAACTCGTCAAATTTGAGATTCGTGTCATAAAAGTTTGATAACTGAATAAGAAAAAAAATTACAGGTTAACCCAGAATTAGCTGGGTTAACCTATCAAATCCAGAAACTGTATTATGAAAGTTTGATAACTAAATAGAAAAAATTTAACATTAACAAATTAAATCAAACGAAAAAATTAATTAAAAAGAAAAACTAGAAAAAAATTCAGGTTAACCCGTCAAACCCAGAACTCGTATAATGAAAGTTTGATAACTAAATAAAAAACAATTTAATATTAACAAAAAAAACAAAAAAAAAACATTCATTAAAAAAACAAAGAAAACAAAAAAGCTTAAAAAACAAAACAAAAGACAAAAAAAAAAAAGATAGCTAAGCGTTTCACTATATATTCCACTCGAAAAAATTAATTAAAAAGAAAAATAAAAAAAAATCTAGGTTAACCCGTTAAACCCAAAACCTGTATCATAAAAATTTAATAATTAAATAAAAAAAATTAACATTAAAAAAAAATGAACATAAAAACATTCATTAAAAAAAATAATGAAAAGAAATAGCTTAAAAAATAAAAAAATAAAAAATAACTTAAAAAATCAAAGTAAAAAGAAAAAAATAAAAGACAGTTCAACATTTTATTGTGATGAAATAATGAGTAGTTTTAGCTATTATTATAATTTATTTTTGTATTTTAAAATTATTTTAAAAAAATAAAAAAAATTATTTTATTTTTTATTTAAATTAATATTTTTTAATCTTTTGAATTCATTTTAATTCATTAATATTAAAAATAATTTTTTAAAATAAAAAATATTATTTTAATATATTTTTAAATAAAAAAATATTTTCAACAATAATCACCCCCACACGTTTGAATTCGCAAGTGTGGATGCGGGCCATTCCAGGCTGGGAGAATAGATATATTTGGATCAGGTACCGTGAATGTTCCCTGTATGGAAAGTGGGAAAGTGAGAGTGAAAGCACTCACCCACGCGCTCAAGTGGAGATAGTGAAAGATGTTTTGTTGCCCATTCTGGCGGCTCACGAATGAGGCAGAGGCATCAACAAGATAAAGCTAAGTTTTCAGGAGAAGAGGTTGATGCTTTATTTGGTTCGAAAAATAAAGGATTATACCTCAGGAGGAGTGAGTTTTAATTTTCTTTTATTTTACTTTTTGTGTGGAGAAGGAATCAAATTAAAAAAGTAAAATTAATCCTAACCTGATTTTTTAATTAATATTTAATTAATTAGTCAAACGTGTAACTAAGAGGATGAACTCTCCTTGATGAATTTAATTTTTTATTTATCATATAAAAAAATATAAAAACTAATTTATCATTAACTCAATATAAAAAAATAAAATTAAATAAAAATATCACTTTAAATAATAAAAATAAAAAAATTCCCAAAACACAAAATAGCTAAGAAAAAAAAGTGATTTTCCCCCTTTAAATTAAAAAAACAACACATAAAACATGCATGGTGCGACTTAAACCCATTTAAAGTCTGCTTAGAAATGCGGTACAAATCGTGTTACTAAAAAAATCAAAAAAAAATTATTAAAATTTAATATGTTTTGAATTAAAATTTAATATATTTTGAATCGTTTTAGTGTACTAATATTTAAAATAAATTTTTAAAAATAAAAAACATTATTAATATATGCTAAATTTTCAATTAAACCGTTATCATCTCCGTTTATCATCTCACAATCTGGATCATCCATGTTATATACCATCATCTACTAATATACATGATTTTAGGTTAAAACCTGTTTGTTTTTATATTTTTTTACTAATATACATGATTTTAGGTTAAAACCTATTTGTTTTTATATTTTTTTAAATATTTTAAAAAAATTAAATTTTTATTTATTTTTTAATTTAAATTAATATTTTTTTAGTATTTTAAAATTTTTTTGATGAGAGGAAATTAAAAAAAAAATAAAAAAATAAAAAATTATTATTTTATTGTATTTAAAAAAAATAAACAATAAAAAACACAATAGGCTGAGCTTATGGTCATCATCAATGGGCGACAAAATTGTGATAAGATACCGACCACCACTCCATCTTAGTAGATTCATAGAATTAGGTCGAGATCTGGCAGCTGACATTCCTTGTAGGGATGGAGAGGTTTTCTTTCCAAAAATGGGGCCCTGCATTCATATATATTCTTGATTTTTCATCTTTAACATTGCCACGTCCGTTAAACTTGCTTGAAAAAGAAGGTCCTCTTGTACCCTTGTCCGCAATTAGCTTTCAAACGCAAGTGCCAGTAATGCCTATAATGGATACAAATCCTTCTCCAGTCCAATTGCCGTAAAGAAGGGAAAATCAAATGAATTTTCAACACATTCGTGAATCTTTCTTCAGACTTCAAACATCCATTTTGCTTTCCAAGAAATGCAAGGTACCGTGTAGCAGAAAGGTTTGTTACTTTAGACAGCAAGTGCACAGGAAATTCATCTTTTTGCTATTTGAAGACATCCCATTAGAGAAAATCCAGAGGGACCACATTCAATAAACCGAGTGTCCATCTCCATCCTCAATATAAAGAAAAGATTAGGCATACATTGCATCCGGCCGATGCAGCAGCGGTCCCCTGCCCTCAACTACTACGTGCGATTAAATACAAGCATCGTATCAACTTCCTGATTTCTCCACTTACAGCAATATACATGTGTGCTACAGAGAGTGTTATACACACGGTATGAGCAGCGAGAAGAAATATCCAACAGAGTATACTAACCCCATTGTTACCACAGCTACTATGGTTGCCAAGCTAAAAACACTGACAATGGAACCAATTAGCAGGAATCACTATTCTTTCATTACTTGCTAGAAAGACAGACAGACATCAAAATTTGGCTGCTGGCGGCAGTTAGCAATTCACAGTTCTGCCATGTGATTGTTACGAATAAAAAGTAATAACAGGAGCAGCGATATTTTGCGCACGATCCTGACCAACAAATCATTTTTCCTTCCTAAAAAAATGTATAAATTTAGATCTTCTCTTCATTCATGTACGATCAAAAAGGAATAAAACCAATCTCATGCGATTATAGTCACATTCTGAGAAAGCTAAAGCAACTGGCACATTTTTTATTTTATCTAACCTTTCGACTTTTGATCCTTGACTCCCCGCTTTATCTGCTTCAATGAGTGGATTAGTTCTGGAAACTTTGCACATACCTTGAGTCGATCCTCATCACTGCTAATTGGCATACTTTGTGCTGGAAGTTGCCATAGATGTGGCCCAAAGTTTGGAATGACCCAACGATATAATTGGTCAGTTTGAGGATCATATTCAGGTTTCCGGTCTTCTACAGTTGAAAAACTGCACAAAGACCCACCATACTTGGCAAGCCAGTCTGGTTTAATGCTTGTGGCCCCATGCATGTAAGGCCGCTTTGTATGAAGCAATTCACTGTACACCAAAAACTCAGGTGCTGAATTAGAAAGAGAGGACCGCCGATGAAGGAATACTGTTTCCTTAACCATGCAGGCTTGATACCGAACAGCACTTGCTTTTCTGTCTCCTTCCAAGGAGCCTGAATTTCCTCTGATGCGTTTTGCAACCCTATCAACCCAGCCAGCACAGATAGCTTGGCCTAAGATATCTTCCACATTCAATAAAATAGACCTCTTACTGGACAAAACCCTCCAAGCTTGTTCTACATCCTCCACGGTCCCATGGATCCAAGAGAAACCCTGCTCTAGCTCGTGAACATGATGATTAAAGACCAGTTGAAGAAGCTGCCTTCTAAGCTTTGACATTTCTTCCATGGTTTTAAGGTGCAAGGCATTTTCATGGCAGAATTCCACCGGGCTTGTAGAAAGTTCAAAACAATGCAAGGCATAAGCTACAGTCAATGTATCACTAGTAGAATTGGAAAATCGAGCGCGGGATAATTTAGCTGTTTCTCTGAGTTTCTTTTTCTTTATTTTTTCTTTCTTGTCTAAAATTGTATTGCTTCCTAGGCTACTAGATCTTCCATCCTGTTCTGAGCCATTGCTGTCAGTATGACTTCCTTCAAAATGCTTAAGAAAAGTATTGGAAAAGCTCAATGCTGCAGCTGTTGCAACTGCATATCCTAGAACCAGATTTGCTGTATCATGATCCTTCATTTTCCTCGTAATTTGGATAGCTGTAAGAAGCATTCGAGAGTGACGAGGACTCATGGGATAGCAAGCCATGGCCTTCCCTAGGGATGTCAGCCTTCCTGTATTATCAAGAGCTTCCAAGGTCTTCAAGCAACGTTCTGCTTCTACTAAGGCAGCAGCCTCTGGAGGAGTTGGAAATGGGAACTTTTCTACCTGGAATACAAAACAAAGCAGAGAGACTAAGTAAAGGAATTGGTTAGAAAAAATTCCTCTAGACCAGTTAAACCACTGGTATCTAATATTATAACTTCAAAAACCATGTAGCAGGCAGCATACAAGCAAACTCAGCAAAACAACTAGCAACTGGATGGCCAGCCAGCAAATGCATTCCGGGGACAGGTCAACTACAAGATACTTAATCCATATAGGCATATCCAACCCCAATCAGATAATTTAATGTGCCTCATTAGATTTTTGGATTCTTGGAAAACAGCATATGATAAGAACAAACCTCACCCCCACCACAAACATAAAACATGAAAAGCTAATTGGTTATAGTATTGATTAAAAAAATCCTATATGATCTTCTATTATGTAAGTTTAAATCCTTCGTGCATGAAAAATGCCATTGTAAAGTCTGCTGCATTAAACAGGAAAAAAGAAAGGAAAAGATTTTGCAGGTAATAAAAGAACCATAACATAGAAGAAAACACACCTTGTCGATATGCATGGATTTCAGGACAAGAACAATGCTATCAACAGGTACTTTAGATATTTCAGCACAAGAGAAGTCAGGAAGTATGTTATTATAGACAGCAGATGAATAAAGACGGTAACAGTGGCCAGGCCCTGTTCTTCCTGCTCTTCCTTTGCGCTGATCAGCTGAAGCCTTACTTATCCATTGTACTTCATATGCTTCCATGCCATTTGATGAGTTGTAGGTCTTCACCTTTTCTCTTCCAGTATCAACCACATATTTTATCCCTGGGATGGTTAAAGAAGTTTCAGCAACATTAGTGGCAACAACAACAAGCCGCTCCCCTTCATTGACCTCATCAAATACATGGAGCTGTGCCACTGCAGGAAGCATGGCATAAAGAGGCATAACACGCAGAGCACTAGTAAAAAGACCCTTATCTCCTACTGTTTTCTTCTCCATGCTATTTTTGTATTGTTCTGGGCACTCTTCTGGCATAGAAGGAATTTGTTTTCCCTCTGATTTACATTCTGATGCATTATCTCCAGCCAAAGCTTCAAAAGCAGACTTCAATGCAGCAAGGCTACTTTTCTCTCGCAGAACACCCACAACATCATTTTCAGATGTTTTTGAATCCTCTATATCCACCTCATCACCAACAATTTCTACTTCACTCTCTGATCCTGAATCATAAGAGACATCCGATTCATCCTCAGCAGAATCTGGCACATCTTCATCATGAGAGCCAAACCTCTCAGTTTGCTGGTCAATCGAATTACCCTGAATCTCAAATGCCTCATCAATATCCTTCATGTTAACACCTTCAATGGAAACCATTTCAGACATTGCTGGGACCTTATCCCCTACACGCCCTTTAGCAGTATTAGCAATCAACTCTGTTGAAGCTTTGCGTAACTTCTGACACAGGTACTCTACTTCTCTCTGTCCTGTGACAAAGACAAGTATGCCTCCTTGTGGCAGCCTCTTGTGGATTGACATGACTTTCTTATAGGCCTGGCCAATATAATCCACAGTTTCAGTTCTCTTCGAGAAATGCACTGTCACTTCAAATTGCCTGGTAGGAACGTTTATAACTGGAGGAGGATCATGAAATAACCTTCTTTCAGAAATGAAGTCCTCCACTCGCAAGGTGGCACTCATTAGAACAAGTTTTAGTGGAAATATCATATTTTCAGGACTTAGACTTTGACCAGAAAGCACCATTTTTTGCTGCTGCTCATATTTCTTCTGCCATATGCAAAGGATTGTATATGTTAAAGATAGGTGAGAAGGAAGAAGATCCATAAACAATGTTTTACAGCTGAAAGTGGGAAAGTGTATCAAAATTACCTGGCGGAGTTGAATTACACGAGAGAGCATTCCAATAAGAATGTCTGTATTCACACTTCTCTCATGAGCCTCATCCAGAATTATCACAGAGTAACGCTTCAATAAAATATCAGTCTGCAACATAAAAAAATTATTGAACAGCAGAAGAAGAGTTAACATGAGCATGCTAATCCATTTCTCCAGACTATCTTTTTTACATGGGTCCATATCAGTCTGCACCATAAAAGATTTTATTGAACAGCAGAAGAAGAGTTAACATGAGCGTAAAAAACCATTAATTCCAGACAAAATATCTTTTTTACATGGGTCCCACCAGCAGAGTTAGCTCCGTATACATGACATAGCAAACAATACCAGAAAGGATCCCGCAGGAGATATAACTAATAGGACTTTAAATTTCCAGGAAAAAGTTTCAGAAAATAACACATGAAAAAAATTTGAAATTTGGATCCTCAATGGTAGTACATTCCAAGAAAACATAATTTCCACAAACAACATTCAGAATATATAATTCTACAGACAGAACTAAAAAGTTTGACAAATGGGTCAGCTATAAAGACGACACAAGCAAAATTAGTGGTCGTTCAATAACAAGTGTGCCTTTGGCTTATTCTTTTCGATTGCCTTTTTGGGGTCAGTACCAATAGATTCAAATTCACAATCCAAAAATGTAGATTCAGGCAACCAAGCAAGAATCTGACATGAAGAAACACCTATGAAGCTCCCACAAAAAAAGAAAAAACTCTATAGGAAGATCAAATATAAGAATTGTAAACATCATCTGACAGTTGAAAAACCACATACTAAAACTTTTCACATATAATCATTGATGTACCATTCTTCAAAACACTCACAAATAAGATGCATGTAAAATCAGCTGAATCCAAACCTGAACTTCTCGCAGTAATATTCCATCAGTCATAAACTTGATTGAACAATTGTCTCCGATTCTCTTGTCATGCCTAACTTGGAATCCAACCTCTTTACCAAGATGAAGACCAAGTTCAAATGCAACCCGTCTAGCAGTGGCAAGGACAGCAATGCGTCGTGGTTGAGTAACACCAATAACACCATTTCTAACAACAGAATGGTTTGAACCATAACCTGCTTCATAAAGAAACTGAAAGATTACACCGAAGAACCAAAATTAGATGGTTCTTGAACCGAATTGTTTGAGTTGGCAGTAGCTAACAAATATAATGCCTAGAAGAAACCCACCTGAGGAACTTGAGTGGTTTTACCACACCCAGTTTCTCCACAGATAATAACAGTGGAATGTTCATTTATAGCTTCCATTATCTCCTGTTCCATCATAATAATTGGAAGATCCTTCCGTTTCTTCTCCACCTCATCTGGCCTTGATACATGCACCACTGTTGGGGTAGTAGGAGGTCTTGGCAATGGAAAATCTGGGAAATTGCTAGCCTTTCCTAAATCTACAGTTGAGTTCTCATCTAATTTACCCTGCTCCATGCAAATGCCCCACTCTCCAGTTAGTCAACAGTAGAGCAGTTACCACAATATACCAACATGCACATGTAATTTCACCATTCTCACTCACATATAATACATATGGTATTGAGTCAAAAATAGTTAATAATCTACTAAGTTACATCAATTGCCTCTTCAATCTTCCATGCTAACCATGTACAATACATAATGCATAAATTGCAAGTTGTAAGTCAGCAGTTGGTCAATTCAACTTCTTTTGGCAGCCTTGTCAAAAAGTAAGAATAAATATCCAAACAGAATTCTAGTCTCATATAATCTGAATTATAAACAGTATATGACATATATAGCGCAAAAGAAGATTATGTATCATGACTTGTAATCTGAGCCGGTAACATACCATTAAACTGGAAGTTTTTCTAGCATCACGATCACTCGAAGTCTCTGAAGATTTTTTAGGAACTTCCAGTGTAGGTGTACAATTATCCTCAATGGCCACTTCTTCAGCAGAGAATGCAAAAACAGATCTGCCATTTAAGCCAAGCTCATTACCGCTAACTGGATCGTGATACACCAGTGAAAAAGATGCATGGTTTTGAACTTCTCTTCCTATGACCATTGGTTGTAAATGGCCTTTCTCATTCATATCCTTCTTTGATTGGATCTCATCCAACCCAGCTTCAATCTCAAAAGCAGTTTCATGATTCCTCTTGAAAGGCTGGTCACCCTGGGGACTTAAACCAGCCTTGGAAAATTGTACTGCCATCCTACGTTTTTCTTTAACAGTTTCAACCTACATGAAGGTAAGCCAATGAGCAAACTAACATCCAACAGACTTTTGCATTTATGTAGAAAGTCAAGTAGATCCTAAGATACAAACCCGACTTATATTTCTTGATGATTGCAGGAGAGAAAATGCATCCTCTGGGATCTTATATTTCCTGAAAGTTAGATAATTGAGTAGTTTGCAAACATTGTTAATGCTTTCTGGAGAAGCAACATAAAATATAAATCAATCATCCAAAAGGTAAAAGTGGTAACATACTCCAGGGTTTCTATGCTTTTTGATAACAGCACTGTTCTCTCATTCTCCTCCTGCAAAAAACAAAAAGGCAAATCAACTCCCGCATAAAACACAAGAATGAACTGGAGTACACTAGAAGCTAAATGCAAGCACACACCTCCAGCTTCTTCAATTTTCTTTTCTGAGATTTACTTAACTGTGGGTTTTTATTTTTCTTGGCCACTTGCGCCTGTGCGACAAAAATTCCAGGCATTCAACCTCTTAAAAGAAAGGGCATAGCAGAACAAAAGAGCTATTTCACCTGCGCTACATACCTGATTCATGCCTTTCCTTTTATTACTTTTCTTTGCAGGCATGATCAATGCGTTGCTATCACCTTCCACGCTACATATGCAAGCAACACGTTTTATGCAAAAAAAAAAAATCAAAGGTAAACATTTGCAAGCCCATGGCTACTTAAGGACATATTGTAAACTTGCTAGACTTGATACTTTCTCAAAAAATTGTCGAATCAAGACCACTCCTTTAAATGGCATGTAAAAATTACAATTAGCTAAGAACCTGTAAGTGAACATGTTTTGTACAAGTAACAAGTATACGTAGCAAATAGAATCCTTGAATTTTTTTCTTATTTCTATTTTCCTATATTGCTACTAAAATTCAATTGAAAAAAAAAACACAGAAAAAACTTGTCCTAGATCTTCTCCTAAACAAAACACAACGAAATCAAAAGAACATACATAAAGGCAGATAAGATGTACATTACCATGAATTTTCCAAATGTACTTCCATATTGCCTCTCTATAGTTAAACGAAACTGAAGATGTGGGCCTTCAGGAAATGACTTCAGAGTTATCGATGAAACAAAGCTCTCCACCAGATGACGCAAGGCTTCTCGTTAGTTCCGTTTCTTGATCTTTCACATAACAAAAACCTCAAACAATGCCTGTTTACTTGTTTGGCAACCTTAAAACCTCAATCACAGACAAAGTAAATAATCAAAAGTTCAGTTGCTTGATTTAATTCAGGTTTGGACAGTCTAAAAATCTAATTAAAGGTTTAGGCATAAACAAAACCTAGAAACAGCAACCCCCCACCCCCTTTTTTTCACCACTTGCTTTACTCTAATGGGAATCAATCTCCATCATCAAAGCAAAAAAAGAAAGAAAAAGAAACGAGCAGGGAGAGAAGGAGATACCAGCCAGGGAGGGTTGGTTTAAGACTTTACGTCGTTTTTTCTGTAAAAGTGATTGAAGTTGGGATGATTTTTATCTGCACTCGCATTAAAAAAAAAAAATAGTTATCAGCTCAAATTAATCCTCGGGATGTGAAATGTGTAGGTTATCGTTAGCTGATGAGATCCATGAACCTTGATGACGCCTATAAGGCGGAGGCTGATTTTTCCCGACGAGACAGAGCGGGATTCGTAAGGTGGTTGCACTGGTTGCCACTCCAATATGCCTTTCACCACAGTAGCAAACCCTAGCGGAGTCAGAGTTTGAAGGTTTTTAATATAATTACTATTATAATTATATTATAAGATGCACTCCCCGCGCCGCTTTTCACGCGCTAACATTTTATTTTGTACTTCCACCGGTGAATTTATTTTATTTTGATCATTCAAGTTTTCTTTTTTCAATAATTAACAATGATTAACTCAAAATAATTTAATACTTGTTACATGACCCCTTTGATGTCGTGAATCAATTTATTTTACATAAAGTATATTTAAAAAAAATAAAATTTAAAAATATTAGATTTTTTTACAAAACTATATATAAGAGTCTTGAGTTTGATTGATTTAAGATTAATATTTATAATATTAATAATAGCATTAAACTTGCATGACACAAATTTAACTGAATTTGGCTGCAATACCAGACCTAATAACATTAGATTTAGGTCTGGCTACAAGGTTGTGTCATAAAGATGTAATAATTAAATAGATTGATTAAAAAAAAACCAACAGAAAAAAAAACTAATGAGAAAAAAAATCAGAATTAATTGGATTAACTTACCAAATCAGGTTAACATGTCAAACCTGGGATTCATGTCATGAAAGTGTGATAAGTAAATAGCAAAAAGATTTAATACTAATAAACTAAATTAAAAAAAAAAGATTAATTAAAAAGGAAAAAGTAAAGAGAAAACTACCTACAGAAAGGAAAAAACTAATAAAAAAAGAAAAAAATCTGAATCAACTGAGTTACATTATCAAACCTGGGATTCGTATCATGAAAAACTGATAATTAAACAGAAAAACTTTAATATTAAGAAACTATAGGAAAAAAGTTAACTAAATGCATAAACTTTTCACTATGCATTGCACCGTGCTATTCACAGTAAAAGACTTAAAAAGAAAAAGAAAATGAAAAAAAAAAGCATAAGTCACGGGTTAATTTTTTTTTATATATAAAAAATATAAAAAAATGCTAAGATTTAAGAGTGTTAGGTATTTTTACAAAGATATACCCAAAAGCCTTGGGTCTAGCTGTAACGCTTGACCCAAGAATATTATTTATAATATTAATAATAACATTAAATTTACATGATTTAAGTTTAAGTGAGTCTGACTGCAACACCAGACTCTAGAGCATTAGATGTGGGACTGGCTATAAGATCATGTCATAAAAGTGTGATAATTAAATAGATTAATTAAAAAGAAAAAACAAAGAAAAAAAATCAATAAAACTAATAAAGAAAAAGAAAAAAATCTGAATTAACTGGGTTAACCCATTAAACCTGAGATTCGCGTTATGAAAGTTTGATAACTAAATAGAATAAAATAATTGACGGGTTTACCCAAAATTAACTGCGTTAACCTGTCATACTAAGTTAACCCGTCAAACCCGAGATACGTGTCATAACAATCTAATAATTAAATATAAAGAAATTTAACATTAACAAACTAAACTAAATAAAAAAATTAATTAAAAAGAAAAAAATCTAGATTACCTCGTTAAATCAGGCTACCTCATCAAACCCGAGATCAAATAAAAAATTTATTAAAAGAGAAAAAACATAAAAAAATTAAAAAAAAAAGACAATTTAGGTTTCATTTAATTTATAGTATATAATATAATATAATATAATGTAATAATTATTATAATATAATAATATAATAATATAATATATTAAAGATGGGAAAGTGATTATAACATAATATAATATAATAATAATAATCATTATAATATAATAATTATAATAATATAATATATTAAAGAAGGAAAAGTGAAAGGCATGGAAAAGTTATAGTAATTTTTCTATTTTCTTAGAATATTCTATAATATCATTTTTTAATATTTTAAAATAATATGCCATTCTCTAATATATAATATATTTCTTCCGTAAAGATCCAAGTTTCTTATTTGTTGGGTTTTTTAAAATAAAAAAATCCAGTAAAAAATTATTTAATTAAAAAATAAAATTTTTAAAAATAATGATTGTTTTTAAAAATATTTTTTATATAAAAATATATTTAAATAATATTTTTTAAATTATTTTTAATATCAATATATCAAAACAATTTAAAAATATAAAAAAATTAATTTTTTATAAGACATATTTGAAATACCATTCCATACAAAGTTTTAATATAACATAATATCATTGTACTTTAATTTTTTTATTTTATTCTTTTTATTTTTTAGATATACAATAGTCAATGTTTGGTTTAAGATGGCAGTGGAAGAGCTTTAACAAGTGCAAGACAATGGATCTTGCCTTGAGATTACCAAAATGCTAAAATTTTGATATTTATTAAATATTATTATTTTTATTATTATTATTATTATTACTCTATTATATATTATTTTGAGAAGAAAACTTTGCCAGTATTGGAACATATATAATTAAATAGTGATCTCTTATTAATTATTTTTTAGGATTCACTTTAAATAAATGAACTTGATATAAGTGGAAGATAAATTTTCATTAAAGATATTTTTAATATTTTTTATGAGTAATTGATTTTATTTTCTCTTTTTATATTTATATTTTTTTAATTAATGCCAAAAAATAACCAATAAAATAATATTATACAAAGTCCATGAAGATAAAATAAAAAAGGATTAAATAACAATATGGAATTTTAGCAATTTTTCATATGGACGCATAAGCCAATACAAACACAATTTTAAAATCCGGACCGACTTGGCAGGTCGACCAGAGCCTAGGATCGATCGGGATGGAGGTAAAACCCACTTAAGAGTTGACCTAGTAAAATCTAATCGACCCAGGACCTGGTCCACCTGGTCAAACTCAAGTGAGACCTAGTTTTTTTTATATATATATTAGCAGCTATTAAACAACATCATTTTGACCTTTTAAAAGACCAAAACGCTAAAAAAAAATGAAGCAGAATTGGAAACAGATGAAAACCTAATTAACAAAAAACAAAATCAATTTGAATTAATAAAACAAAAACTAAAGAGAAAAAGACGTCTTGACTCTTGATTACTGTTGTTTCTCTTTGAAAAAAATTTGAATCTCCTTCGTTCACTCTCTATTTTCTTTATAGGCAACTAATCAAGGGCTCAAAAGCTTCTGCTTCTCAGGTTTTATCCTCCATTACAATCACGAGAGCTTGGTTTAGTAAGAGGATCCCAACTTCTGGTCCACCCCATGAGCTTTGCCATCCAAGCATGTACAGCTGCATGTGATTCACCATAGACTCCTTGCCATGAGCACATAAGTAACAAATGAAAATGCCCTTTCCACCTCTCTCTAAATATATTTGATCACAGTTGCCATAATTTTTTCTCCATCAGTGAACGACAATATCAATTGATAATGACAATAGACAGAGAAACTGTATGAAAATGATGGTATTAAGTTTATTAATCATAGAAATTGTATAGTTTTTTAAATTTTTTTAGGTCAACCTGAATCAACTTATCTGACCCTTGATCCAATCACTTGACCGGGTCAATGACTAGATCGGATTTCAAAACTATGAATACATATTTGTAATTGATCTTGTCTGTTTGAATGGCCTGAGATTGTAATAATTTAATTTTGAATTCTCCATAAATAAAATTTAAAAACATATTTTTCTCGAGCCAACATCCACTTTTCCATTAAAACCAAGTTCACTGGGTAAATATAGATCAAACCATGTTAACAAGGGTAAAAAATGAGTTTTAAACCATCTTGGATCAAAACCATCATTTTCATTTAAAAAAATGAGTCTACTAGGTCAAAAAATGTCAAGTTATGTCAACTAAGGTAAACAATAAGTTTCAATTTGTTTCTAGTTAAAATCATTATTTTCAATCAAAGAGCAAGTCTACAAAGTTTATACAAGTTAAAAAATATTTTTCAGTATTTGAAATTAATTTTTCAATAATCAAAATTCATTTTTAGCGATTAAAATGGGTATTTTTGAAACTTTCATCAAAGTTCAAAGGTATTTTGTTACTTTTCCTAGCTAGTGGCATTAAGGTAAATTCATGGGCTTCTAAGAGTATTTTTAATTTTACTTTTTTACATGTATTTGTATTTTATTTTTTTATTTTGTATACCCTAAACAAGTAATTAAAAAATGATGATGCAAGTTCAATACTCTAATTCACCAATCGTCATGTACGGGTCCAATAGCTAATTTTCCATTGCTAATATGGGTCCAACATCCTTTTTTGTATTTAATTTAATAAAAATAAAATGATAATAAAAATTATTCATGTATTAATTATTCCTATTAATTGATAATTAACTCAAATATGATATGGTCTAACTCAAATATGGTATGATCTATTATCAGATCTTGTTCTTTTTTGGATGTTGAATATCTAATAATAATATCAATAGATATTGATTTTGAATTAATTGTCGATGTAACGGTATAAAATTAGACCATATTCTTTAAATATTATTCATTTAATTGATCATGCACCTTCAAGCTTTATATTAAATGATCTTATCGTTAATTGAATGACTCGAGATGGGATGGTCTAACAATAGATCTTGTCATTCAAGTGCTAATTACTAGATTATAGGGTTAGTTAATATAATTCATCAAATAACCCAAAACATTAAGGTCTAACATCAAGTCTTATTTTTTTTATGGATAAGGACAATACCTAGACTACATATCAATTTAGGCAGATCACATTAAAACATATTTATTTTTAAAAATAAATAATAATGTAGCTTACCTTAAGTAAGATCGATAGAGTGATTGTTATCTTTCATATTATATAATTAGCCCTTTACCTAAAATATCTGAAAAGTAGTTAAAGTTTTTAGTTACTATAAAACTTGGTAGTGACTTTTTTTTTTCATAAATTTTTCCTTTTCACACAAAATTAGCTTGTCGTAATGTTTATCAAAGAGCGGCATAATAACAACTCCGTTAGAGATTTTAAGGGCTAGGCTTTGTTAGTTATTTTTCAATGATAATGCATTTATTGTGTTTATTTGGTTATCGCACACATCCACATATATTGTTTTTATCAAATATAGAATTTTAAAAATACACACAGAACATAATGTTTGCATTATGACATGACCAATTCTTTAGGATTGTGAGGGAAAGTAACAGTGCCTCAATGGTCTTTGGTTTAGGTAACATACATGAAACTATCAATTTCTGTTGAAAGTCTACCTAGATGTGATTAGTATGTCAATATGGTTTCGCCCCAACCTATGCTTTCTTACTTTGTAGGCCTTGGTTTAGCGTATTAAGGCTGTTAAGTCAGGCAATGAAAGACCCTTTTTAGACTAGTTTAGATAACAAACCTACTCATGTACACATATTGACTAGGATTTTCCATTTATGATGTTTCCTTGTAATATCATCACTCATGTATTTGACATCACAAATAAGTTACTCTTTATTATTAGTGCTAATAAAATGAGTGCTTGAGAATGAACAAATTTCCTTGATAAATCTTGAGCATTTTTTTAACCTCTTTCTATGAAATCTCAACACAAAAAATCATTTACCTTCAATAACCTGCTAAACAAACTAGATCACCATTATCAATTCAAAATAAATTTGTTTTAAGCTTACATTGGATAAATTTTAGTTTTTAAAAATGCAAGAGTCAAGATTTTTAAAAATTCATTTAACATATAAATAGTCTAGTTGTGAGCTAACATTTCTTTTTTAGCTTGTAACATGTCAATGTTCAACAAATTGCATTAATGCATCTCAACAGGAATTCAGGAAAACAAGGAAAGAATCTAGTAGATCTAGGTGATAGGATTTCAATGGTGGTGGTGGTGTTAATCATTAATAGCTCAGAAGAAAGAATCATGGGCTTGAAATTTCGGTTGGCTGAAGGTTTCATTGGCTTTTTCCGGCAATATAAGGCATCAACAACGATGAGGATAATAAGGGTTTTCTCACTAGGTGGAGAGGAGTTTTTATGTGGTGATCTAGCAGTGTGAGGCGCCCATAGTTGAGAGACCTAATAAGAGAGAGAATAGTTGGCAAGCAGAGAAAGAGTACTTGAGGTTTTGCTGAGGTGCGAGGACAAGCATGGCAATCTAGTGCACGTGGAGGTTATGGATTAATGGATCTCCTCTAATTTGATCCCATGAATCTCCTCTAATTGAGTGTATTTGCTTGAGTGTGGTGAGATACACTGGCTGTTTGGTGTAGAGGGTGACATGGTAGGCTAGGATCGAAGGTCTAACTTTTTAATGGTTAGGATGTGTTTGGGTTTTGATCCAGTATAGTAAGCTTATTTAGATTAGAGTTTAGAGTGTATTTGATATTGTGGTAGCTGTTATAGTTGTGGTTTGAAAAAAATTGTTTTATAAAAAGTACTTTTAGTTGAGGTTGGTTTGGAAAAATATATGTTTGGTTAAAACTGTGGTTGAAATTGAGGTTGAACAAAAAGTAATTTAATGTATTTTATTAAAGAGTCATTTTCAAATTGAGGTTATATATATATTGATGGTGTTAAATATTTTAGATTTAACTACTACTATTACATCATGAAATAAATAATACTTTATATAAAATATTTTTTATTGTTCAACTAAACTATCTACAATTCCATCACGTATAAAACAAATTTGATAAGGACTATAGTTTCCTTAATTTCTTAAGTGTGCAACAACATTGGTAAAATATAATCAGGAATAAAATTACTATTGCGATCAAATTCTGCAAATACTACATCATCAATAAAAAATAAAAAATAATTTTTTTTTTTACTGGATCAAATCCAGTTCAATGCATTTTAACTTTGGATCAGACTCGGTTTTGCTCTAATCATGCAATACTATTCACATAAACAGTGGAGTCATGCTCAATTGTTTATGTGAACGGTAGAGTTGAAGACTACTGTGGATGCATGCAGTGGAGAGTGAAACTCATCACTGCACACATCATCTGCAGGCTTGCAGAAAGCAGCTAAGAGCTGCTTTTCACGAACCTTTGTTTTGCCTTAAATATATGTGGGTAGTGCTCAAAGAGCTGTTTTCCACAAATTTATATTTTACCTTAAATATATATGGGTCCTTTATACACAGTAAATTGTGTTTTAAGGGAACCAAACAGGTTGCGCTTGTGTTTGGCGACACAGTAAATTGTGTTTTAAGGGAACCACCAAACAGGTTGCGCTTGTGTTTGGTTTCAAATGCAGACACAACCTTTTAAATAAACAGACTATAAATAGATAGTTCAAATATAATTTTTATTAAATCCAACTATCAAGATATTTTTAAATTTTTTTTTTTAAAAAAATAATATCTTGCTTGAATGAAGAAAAACAAAAAAAAAAGAAGAAGACATGAATAGTTTTTAAATAAAATGAATATTTTAAAAAATAACTTTAAATCCATACGGTACGGATCTCTCTTTGAAGGACAGAACAGTAATTACAGATTCCTCTATTCCCCCATAAGAACCCAGTGTCTCGACATGGTGGAGAACAGTCTCTTCTTCCGAGGACAAGGCTCATGCCCCAGCAACATGGGATGAATATCTACCTCATACCTCATACTGGTACGGATCTCTCTTTGAAGGACATAACAGTAATTACAGATTCTTTTATTTCCCGATAAGAACCCAGTGTGTCGACATGATGGAGAACAGTCTCTTCTTACGAGGACAAGGCTCATGCCCCAGTTTCCAGGATTGTTAGATTCGTTAAACAAGCTGGTGATCCAGGAAATAAAAATTGCAATGATACATAGCACATTCGAGTAGAATAGGAGACGCCATATCTACTAAAAGCTGAAATGGCTTCTCTTTCAGTCTTCTCATGTCAACAAATTTGCTGGCATGGACCTGTTTTGATTTCCATAACTAGAGAACTTGCTTTGGTTTGATGATATGCAGAATGTCAAAACCTTGCAGCCATCATGCCGTATCTTTTGCTTAGAAAGAAACAAACAAACAGGCGAGGAACAAATTATGCAAGTGAGATTACAGAGAGGTTAAGCATTTTGTCACGTACTACTGAGACATACATGTTGTGCACCATATACATATAGTAGTAAACCATCAACAAGACCCTTGTATCACTCTCTTGCCAAAAGAATATCATTTCTTTCATTCTAGCATGTGAATTTCTCACATGTCCGCTACAAAATGAGGGAAGATTCCCATTATTAACCTCATCAAGGGGTTTTTCAGCTTTTTTGAAAAATGAGAGAAGCCAGTTGGAGGGAAACCTCTAAGAAAATTGTTTAATAATGTTCACTACTGATCGCATTATTCCACATCAAATGATTTAACATGTTGCAAAGCTAAAACGGATAACCTTGTTCGATGCTTGAGATTTTGGGAAATCAATTCTCAGAAGCTAGAAACTCTTTGCAACTTTGTCAGTAAGTTGGCCCGATCATTTTTTCAGGGACTACGAGTGTATCAAATTCTTCACTGGTGAGCATTCCGAGTTTTAGTGCAGCTTCCTGCAGAGATAAATATTGTAAGGTACGATATTCAATCACTCCAAAACGACAAATGGATTAAGCATCATTAGTCTCAAACACTATTGACAGTACACAAAAATAGAAAAAACCCAATATTCAAGAATAATTTTCTTCAAAAGAATGCACGCATGCCCATTCCAAGGAGATGAATGTTTTGGAATTTTATGTTCTTCCCAGCCAAGGGAGAGGGGGGAAAAGAGAGAAGAATCCATAATAAACAGTTTACATGAGTCTAAGAAGAGCAGACATCGTTACTCCCACAATATACGCACATCATAGGGCTTATAAACACTATATTGCAGAGTCACTAAGATGAGAAGAAATCATCACCTTCAGAGTACTTCCCTCCTTGTGGGCCAGCTTGGCAACTGCAGCAGCATTGTCATAACCAATTTTCTAGAATAAAAATGGAAACGTGAGTTAATATTCCAAACACAAAATCAGGAGAATGGAAATATGGACATGGTATAGAGACTTACAGGGTTCAATGATGTGACAAGCATTAGCGACTGCAGGATCACACAAATTGTCAATAACAATAAAACATGATCAAAAAGCTTTCAGATACATCAAATGCAAATAAAGTTTCTGTAGTTATCAAGAACTGACCTCATGCAGTAATTTCGAAATTCTTTCCCTATTGGCTTGAATACCCCTCACACAGTTCTTTTCAAAGGAAGCAGATGCATCACCAAGCAACCTTATTGACTGCCAGAAAAAGGTCAAACACACTGGTTGAGTAAAACAGCCACACTCAAGTCTTCCCAACCAAGAGTCAAAAACAACAGCAAAGTGTGACCAATCAGTAATACAGCATAGCCAAACAGTCAGCATCCTAATATCAGCCAATAAAATGCTATTTGATTACGAATGCTATTAGGGTCCACCATAAGACTTCTAAGATCTCATTGCATGCATCAAAAGATGCCTGATGAGAGGGAACTCATGCATCATTATGAACCTGGAGTATTGGAAACTAAAATTCTAAAACAAAATTTCTTAAAAACCTGATTAAATTCAAATTCCTCGATTTAGTTTCAATCACTTTCGTGTTAAAACATTTAGCAAGAATAGGCATTTTTTTTCCTATGTTCAGTAATCACCAGTAACTTCAAACTGAACCCACTATACAAACAAACTGAAATACTTTACACAGACGAAAGGACCAAAATATCAAAACCGATTTTGCCCTGAATCAAAGCAAGCTCAGGGTGGAACATCCAATGTTAAAGCACTCTTAAGTAACTTATTATTTGGAACTTCAATAAAAATAACAAGTACATTACAGCGCCATTAACATACATGTAGGAGGCCACTAGCGATCATTGGCTTGAACACATTTAGTTCAAAGTGACCATTTGATCCACCAACTGTTATGGCAACATGATTTCCCATAACCTACAAAATGAAGAAAGGGCATTTTTTAATAATGATTTGATTGGTTCAGAGCAAACTTGCAGCTTATACATCAACAATGTGAATTTATAATCTGAATAGCTGCTTTCAGACAAGTTCTAAAGTGAATCATATGATATTGACAAGATGGAACTGCCAGCACTAGAAATTTACCTGAGCACAGACCATTGTGAGAGCCTCACATTGGGTGGGATTAACCTTTCCCTGAAACAAGAAAAACTAAAAAATGACAACATTGCATCGCAATTAAATCTTCAAATGTGCTTATATGAATCACAATTATTCAGATACCAAACAAACAAGGTGTGATGATTTACCGGCATTATACTACTTCCTGGCTCATTTTCAGGAAGAATGAGTTCACCAAGACCACATCGTGGACCGCTGCAAGAAAACATTGTTAAAACCACAAAAGTAAAGCAAATATGTGAGAGCAGGGAGAAGTGGATTGTACAACTTTGCACAGACCTTCCTAATAACCGTATGTCATTTGCAATCTTCATCAGAGAAGTAGCAACTGTGTTGAGTGCTCCACTAGTTTCAACAAAAGCATCATGTGCAGCCTGTAAAAAAAACATACCGCTTTAGCATGCAAAAGAATTTTGCTCTCACTTGAGGTAGCAACATGTAAAATCACACTATTGCTCAAAAGAATCAAATCAAAAGAGCAAAGTCCATTCTTACAACCTTAAATGAAATTGGAAGGAAAAGAAGAAAACTCAAGTTATGAGGAGTTCAAAAACCAACCAAAGCTTCAAACTTGTTTTCCGCTGGGACAAATGGCAGGTTTGTTTCCTCAGCCACTGCTGAAGCTATCTTTACATCAAACCTAGATGGAAAGAAACAAATGATAACTGTCAAAGAACAGACATGCCTCGACACTAAATAATTCTTAGAAATGGTCCATAGATATCCACGTATAAATTCCAAGAGTTTTCAAAACACTGGTTCTCCCACTGATTTGACTATTTTCTTACAGATAATAAAACATAAAATTGATAACATTATTGGAGAATAGGAAAGGTGCTGCAAAAGACTTGAGATTCTTTTCTCTTTGGGGCTAAAATGGGAGAGAAACCTTCAGTCCATCAAAGAAAAATAAAGCACGAAGAAAAGAATCAAACTGAATTCCTGCCTTATGGGGTGATAAGAATCACAAATACAACAAGCTGAAAGAAGCAATTTTTGTTTTCAAGAAAAGAACGCCTAGAAAATAAAATTTTCACCCATGATGCTTTACATACCCTTTCTTTGTGTTTAATCCAGTCCCCACAGCAGTTCCACCCTGTGCAAGCTGCTCGAATAACATTCCCAGTATGTCATAAAATCTGAAGAGCAGAAAAGGGAGAAAAGAACAGTAGAATGGAAAATTTCATTTAATATATGTGTTTCCAACCTGATACATGTGGGGTAGTGTGCACATGACACGATCAATTCCATACTTCACCTGCAAACGAGGCAACAATCATCAGAAGCAAGCATGAACAAGTGAGAAATATGAACCAACAGTGTCAATAAAAAGGCTGAAGTCAAGCATACAGCTGTAAATGCTTAAATAGGAAATTTACCTTACTATATTTAGCTTCCTAGATTTCCTCTTTGTAATTACTATGTACAGCACAACAGCACTACTTTTCCTATATATAATGAAAGCCTAGTCGAAAGGTAGGGGCAATTCAAACAAATCTGATAATTATTACCAAGGGAAAAAGGGTAGCTGCTCAAATGTCCTAAGTGTATATAGGTAACCATAAATCTTAAAGACATACAAATAGCTCTCAAGTAATATCAAGACATAGAAACATCAAAGAGATGTCATACTGCAAATAAGGTATTATAACACTCAAATATTCTTCTTTGCTTGATTTCTTCAAACTCGGGACATAATTAAACAAAACCAAAATTTGCACCATTCTGCCACGTATTGTGCCAAAAATATCAAATCAGCTTTTAATATTCTGAGAAGCTCTTTAAGAGGAAAGGTGCATTCATGTGTTTAGGAGCAAATTTTTCCGCACAATAAGACAACAGAAATGCCTGGCCAATCTCAACTTGAAACAGAGAAGTAAAAAGATTAAGTCCCAAACATCAACAGAAACAAAAGTTTGTCTCCAATGCAACATAGCATTGATGTGTGACACTGCAAATAGACTCAACTGAAAGCAAAACCATATAACAAATCATTTTGAATAATTAGTTCTATATTGTTCCCAAAATAAACAAAATGACTGACAGCAAAAACATTTCTGTGGATGGCACTTCGAAACAATGATGGAAAAAAGAGGTCACTTAATGACTTTGTTCCTAGTTCACCATACATAGCAAAACGAAGGCGATCTCTCCAAGAACTTTCAATCATCATGGACTACATTAGGCCAGTGCATTAACTCACCTCTACAAGAGAGATTTGAAGTTGCAGGAGCTCAATTCACCAAAATCACAGGTTAGGTAATCATGCATAATGATGAGCTCAGAACCACTACAAGCTAGCCAAATTAATCCAGAACAGGTCAAATTACCTTAAACACGTAGGTCAAGCAGGCTTCAAAGAAAAAAATTGAAAGAATGACCATTGAGAACCAAAAATGATATGAACAAACAACTAAAAAGAAGGCATTAAGACAAAGTGGCACTGCAACCTTGTTAAGTTATTTCTTTGTTCAGATAAGAGAAGATTTTATCAAGAGTGGAATAGTAGAAATCAAAGTAAAGTCAAAGACTTCCACTGTTACAGAGGAATCAAAACATCCGTGCTATTCATCCTACTGCAAATCAGCTCACGCAACTCTTTCAAAGCTTGACACCATAAAGATGCTGAAGAAACTACTCTGCCCTGATTGATTCTTGAAATTTCAGAATATCACTAAACCTCATAAAACCTAAATATCACTTGTAGCCCATTTAGATGCATCTCGAGAGATTAAAAACACACAGCAAAATAGCAACTAAGCAACAAGTTTAACAAGAGAAGGGGGAATAGAACCAGGATAAAATCACATAATAACAATGAAAAGTTTGCAAGGAGTAAAGCAACTAGTCAAAGACGGTGGAGCATGTGACAGTGTATCATTATGGTTGTTTTAAATGCTTCCCCAGAGACAAACACACAGCAACAATCAGGGTTCCAAAGCCCCATAGAAGTAAAACTAGCCATTTTATTTGCAAGACCTGCTTGGTGCATTGTCTGATTTTTAAGGTGATTTCTTCACTTTAGAAATCACTAGTCGTATTTTAAATTTACTGACTCAGTATAAAATTATCAGCAGGCATACATAATGTTTTTTACTCACCACATGAGCACCAATTGGACCAATCGGCGGGCTTCTGAATCTTTGTATCTAATCAATAGACTTCCTTCACAAGTCTTGGGTCTAGAGTCTCCATATTTCCGGCTTCAT